CAGTGGGTCTCTGTGGGGCTGGGTTTTGGGGGTTCCATAAGGGGCTGGGCTGGGGGGTCCCAGGAGCTGTGTGTGTGGGAGTCCCGGCAGGGGTGTGTGTGTGTGTGTGTCTCTCTCTCTCTCTCTGTGGGGCCGGCCAAGGCTCTGTCTGATATGGAAGCAGCCGGGCTTGGCCCTGCCTCCTGCCCGGCCAGGAGGAGGGACCCGGGGAGGGACCTGCCCTCGAGACGCCAGGGCTGTTGTTATGGGCCCTTCTGAGCATGGGGGGGGGGGCCCAGCGCTGCGGCCCCACGGTAAGCCTGGTACTGCCTGACCCTTCACACACTGGGGAGGGCTCGTGCGTCGCTCAGGGCCGAGCCGAACGTCTGTCGGCGTCGCTGGTACCTTTGTCAGGTGCCTTTCGGAGCCTCAGGAGACTCTGGAGACCAGCCTGGCACGGGCATTCGCCTCAGAAGTCAGCACGTCCCTGCCGGGAGCTGCAGCCTGGGCCCTTCCCGCCAGGTCTCCTAGAGCCTGTTAGTTGTTGGGCCGGGCTCCGCCGGAGACGCTCGTCTATCGTGCAGTTAGCAGGGGCTGCCTCGCTCCCATTGACGGGAATTCGTCTGCTCTGCGACCCAGTGGGTCACGCTCAGTGGCTCCATCACCGCTCCTGGGCTTCCGGCTGGCCCCAAACGCCCTCCCTGTCCTCACTGGCTAGAAGGCTGCGCCGTTCTGCTCTGGCGCAGACCTCACCCCGGTGACGGATAATAAATCACTGCCAGGCAGGGCTAGCACAGGGGATCATCCGACATCGCGGCTAGCACAGAATGCAGCAGTGTTCTGGCCACGGACTGGCTACCAGCTGGCCTCTGGGTGTAATTCAATTCCTGCTCTCTCTTGCCTGGTGTTACGTGGGGCTCGTCCCTCTGGTGTCCGAGCACCATTAACCAGACCTGAACGGCCTGGGATCCTGCTCTCCCATAGGTCCCTCCTGCCCGCCAGCCATGTTGCTGCACTTGCAATTGGCTGGCCTGGGTTCTTCCTCCGTCCCCAGGGCTGACCCCTCCGCTGGAGACGGGTGGCGAGACATTCCCAGTGGCTGGTCTCTCTGCCCCGGGCACGGTTCCACGCCAGCGTCCAAGGGGAAGTGGAGCCTCCCAGAGCTGGTGCAACCCCACTGCAAAGGGCAGGCCAGCAAGAGCAGGACGATGGGCCTCCAGGGGCAGGGCCCAGACACCTGTCAAAGTTCCAGGGAGCCCCATGGTGCCCGAGGGAGCAGGCTGGGGGCAGCTTAGCCTCCAGTGAACCTCTCCCCCCGCACACTGACTTCTAAGCCATAGCTTTAATACAGGGCTGTCAAACTATTACAAAAATTCATTGTGATTAATTGCGAGATTAAAAAAAATAATTGCAATTAATCGCAGTTTTAATTGCACTATTGAACAATACTAGAATACCATTTATTTAAATCTTTTTGGAGGTTTTCTATATTTTCAAATATGTTGATTTCAATTATAACACAGAATACAAAGTGTACAGTGCTCATTTTATATTATTTTTATTACAAATATTTGCACTGCAAAAAACAAAAGAAATTGAATTTTTCAGTTCACCTCATACAAGTACTGCAGTGAAATCTTTTAATCGTGAAAGTGCAACCTACAAATGTAGAATTGGGTTTTTTACATAACTGCACTCAGAAATAAAACAATGTAAAACTCTAGAGTTACAGGTCCACTCAGCCCTACTTCTTGTTCAGCCAATCGCTCAGACAAACAACAACAGAGGGTCCTGTGGCACCTTTAAGACTAACAGAAGTACTGGGAGCATAAGCTTTCGTGGGTAAGAACCTCACTTCTTCAGATGCAAGTAATCACTTCTGTTAGTCTTAAAGGTGCCACAGGACCCTCTGTTGCTTTTGACAGATTCAGACTAACATGGCTACCCCTCTGATACCTCTCTCTCTAGTTATTGAAGAATGATTTAAAACAGCCCTTAGATATTGCCCCTTGCCACTAAATATCAAATACTGATTTTAAAAGCCTCAATTTTTTCCCATTTTCTCCCCAATTCTCAAACGTTGGTATAAAATCCACTCATGCTTTGCCTCTTCTCTCTAATTATTAAGTATTTATATAAAATTGCCTTTGTTGTCTATCTAATTTTCAAATATAAATATAAAACTCCCTCAGACTTGGTGTTTCCCATCCTGTCTAACTGCAGCAACATCTCTTTGTTTTGGAGGGAAACTGCTGCCCTGAGTTTTCCACTCAGAGGGGCCACAGATTCAGACTAACACGGCTACCCCTCTGATATCAGACAAACAAGTTTGGTTACATTTGCAGGAGATAATGCTGCCCGCTTCTTATTTACAAAGTCACCTGAAAGTGAGAACAGGCGTTCACATGGCACTTTTGTAGCCAGCATTGCAAGGCATTTACATGCCAGATATGCTAAAAATTCATATGCCCCTTCGTGCTTCAGCCCCCATTCCAGAGGACAGGCTTCCACAAGAAAGAGATCGCACTACAGGACTGGTATGAGGTGAATTGAAAAATACTATTTCTTTTGTCATTTTTACAGTGCAAATACTTGTAATAC